ACTGTTGGTGGAAGTGCTCAACACAAAGAATATCTCGCCGAAAATGGTTGAATCACCTCCGGTATGCCATAAGCCTTCTTACCTTTAGTACAATATAATAATCTCATTACGACTTCGAGCAGAGGTGGTGCAGTTGCATGTGGCGCCGTTTATTTCAGGCATCCTCCGGGGGCAAATATCCGCCACCAAGGTCATCCATGCGTCCCATGGTTGACCTGGGTGGCCGATAGGCGAGGAGTGGGCGGGCGGTGGCGCAAGCGGTGCGGGTATGGTTGTGCTAGCCCTCTGGGGTGTCACTGTAGAGGAAAGAAAAATGTCTCTGGAGAGTCTGGAGAAAGGGCCTTCTTCAAGCTGTGAACGAGTGTGCGAGGTAGACATAAGAAGCCAATTTTGAGAGCCTATGCACCTAGAGAGGATAACAGGCGTGGTGAAGGAGATAGCGTAAACAGATGTGACGCAAACACCCATCCTCCTGCGCGTAGCCCGTTGCATCGCCAGCACGTGCTGCGATGGTCAGCGAGTCGTGACAACTCGTTCTTCTCGCATCCTTTTAGAATCTACAAAGTACTCTTAGCGGATGGCTCCATCCTACTCATGAAAAAGGTTGATGCAACCCTTCAGTACAATGCGTCTTCAAAATGGGCTGCTAAGCTCTCAGAAACTTGCCAAACATCAACAACTTCTCTGTCACCGATAATTTTATGGCGTTTCAATTAGTTATTTTTCCATTTCTGATTTTTCCGCCCTTTTATGGCACCTTATCAAGGATTGAGGTTCTTGACTCAACATTGATTCAACTGCGTATTTCAGCAAATTCTTCGACTCTCAGTTGGCAGAGTTAGCGAGACGTTTGAAGTGGATTTGTCGAAGTCAGCCGATCTTCACCTAACTACGCAGTTTCCACTCGTGAACACCACAGAAATGTTCACTTTGAAAATATTACAAAAGAATCTCTTCCGGCCGGATGCGCTGCTATTTAGTGAGTCCAGTTCATCTACTAAGGAAGTGGGTCAGGAGATCCGTATTGCCGCGTCGTGAGCGGCGCCGCGCGCGGCATTTGCTGTAGCTATAAGAAGTGAGCTAATGTCGTTCACATTGATGGCTGCTAACAAGTAGCTAATGTCGTTCACATTGATGGCTGCTAACAACTAGTTCAGCCATTCTTACCCTGGCGATGTGCTGCTCTCACCTGCGCTCTCATAGCGACGGTCACTTGGCACATTCTATTAAATTTGGCCAAAGGAAAAGTTGCTCATCAACTCTGAGCTGCGTGTCGCCGCGACTTGGATTTCCTGACCTACAGCCGCCTGCTAAACATTTTATGTTTTTTGAGTTGAATACTAGTTTGGCTAGTTGGTTGCCATTCATTAACTAGTTCAGGTGATTACCGTGAGTGTTCTTCTTTCTGTAATAAATAGTTCTTCTTCTTCTTCTCCCTAGCGTTAGTCCCGCGCAGCCGCAGGGTCCGCTGGTGATAAATAGTTCTTCTAGGAATGAAAAATCCAGGAAAATAGGGCAGTACCATGATAAAAAATAGTAGTACCATATCTCCTATCATTCTTGATGTCTAGAAAGAGAGACTTGTAAGCACCTTCAAGTAATCTGACTTCCTAGAAAACTTCTCATTACAGATGAAGCTACTGTGTCACTTAATGAATTACTCAGGGAATCAGCAGTACATCGTGGGCCAATAATCAAAGCAATGCACTTAAGAAAAGGTTGGTTCCGCATAGAGTATGTTTGTGGTTATTGTAGTATCATAAAATTTTGGATTTAGGTGTCATTCAATCCAATTCGCTATGATTTCAGATATCAGAGACAAAGCCAAGCCAGTCGAGAGCGTGGCTGTGAAGTTTGTCGCTCAGCTTTTCGACGCAAATATGTGACACCTCTGCAGGATGGATCAATATTCACTTATTTCTTTGTATTCTTGATGCCATATAACATTATTGATGTGTTTTTGTTTATCAACTGTTGCTTTTTATCGCTGTGTAAACATGCATGCCATGCAAGCCTTAAAACAACAATGGTGAGCTACCAGTAAAATTTTCACCTCCGGTAGAATTTATGCTCGCAGAGTGAGAGGTGCGGGTTCGATTCCCGCCTGCGCAGAGTTTTGCCCATAACTCAGCATTGATTGATTGAATCTGATGGAATCTTTAGTCTGATAATTTCAACCAAAAACATTTATTTATCCCATAAAAGAAATCTTCAACGACTTGGATGGGCGATGAAAAATTCTTCCAACATTTTCACTCTAATCT